TTTATAAAGAAATGACCTTAGCTAATCAACCCAAACCCCAACCTACTGAAAACCCTGAACAAGGTCCATCTTCACAACATAAACTTTCAACTCAACAACTTGTTACTTCTTTACTTAATCAAAATCTGAACAATCTTCTTGTTTCAGAACTCGTATTTATTCCACCCAACTTTGAAGAAACAATTTCTACTAATAATGATATGAATATTGTCAGCTCTACTACACCACCTAAACCACAACAACAACCACAAATCCAACAAACACAATAATTACAACAACAACAACCTGTACATCAAGTCTTACTACTTTCACAACAATCTAACAAAAAACCACTGCAACAACCTTAACTGGCTCAATCTTATAGCCAAGTAACAAGACCCAAACTCAACCTATCATATGACTTCTTAGCAAACTTTCCATTTACTAATGAAATGCAAAACCATACAAAATTATAAACAGAAATATCCTGAAAACTTTTTAATTTCCTCAAAGAACATCTTCATAACTTCTATCCTAACAAAGTCATTAAAGAAGCAGTCAAAAAATAAGATCCACTTAAAGCAAGCTTTTATCTATTAATTAGACAAATGATTGGTACTAGATCTCAATTTTTTACTGACTTAATCCAACAACATAACACTAATAATGACAAAGCTGCTACAATACTATTTAACATTCTTAAAGAAACACTTAAAAAACTTATTTTTACATTAACAACAGTCCTTTTTACTAAACTTAACTATCCAGAAATGCAAGCAAGAAATCTGTGCCAGGTTATATCGATCATTTGGCCGGTGGCATATTTGTGTTACCTATACATGCATATTCGTGTAATGATTAATTTTAAATAGATCACATTACTGTCAGGATAGATATATATATAATAATTCAACATAGAAGGACTTTGCGTACTAAATAATTAATTTACATAATTTGTAGTGTCATAATATGGTGTTGATTCCGCTATTCATTCATATCCAAGGAAAATGAAGGATTATTAATACTAAAACCAAAAGTATTGTATTAAATCTAAAGTAAGTGCATAATTGAGGAAAACAAAATATTACTCATTAAAATGTATTGTTATTAAATTAAATATTATATTAAGGGATTAAAAAACGATTAATTTAAAATGCAATATTTGAAAGTAAAAGTGTAGTAAAGTATATATGATGAATATGAAAGTATAAGTTAAATAAATATGACGAACATTATTTAATGATAAATATTATATGAATGGATCAAGAGCAATTAATTTAAAGTACTATATATGAAAGTACAAGTATATGTGGCGAATATAAAGTATAAGTTAAATAAGAATGTATGACGAACATTATGTAATAAATATTAATATGAAGAGATTAAAGAGCGATTAATTTAAAGTACTATGTGTAAAAGTATAAGTATAGTAAAATATATGTAGCAAATATGAAAGCATAAGTTAAAAAATGTATATAGCGAAAACTATGTAATAAAATAAAATATTATTATATGAAGAGATTAAAGAACGATTAATTTAAAGTAATATAGTAAAGTATAAGTTAAATAAATATGTAGTTAAATCTGTGATATACAAAGTAAGTTAAATGTGTGTTACGAATATGATGTAATAATTATTAATATAATATAAAAGAAAAAAAAAGAAATAAAAAAAGGTAGTCTTTCGTTTGCTAAAAGTAGAAAAAAACAAACTAAGGGGTGATCGAATGTGCATACCTGTAATACAAAACCCAAGAAACATTTACCAAGTGACATTACAAACAATAAAGGCGTGTCTTGATTTGGATTACACTTTGTAATATAATAAACTGCCCTTTGAAGTTTACATATTAATAACTTGCTCTTTGAAGTATACATATTAATAAACTGCCCCTTGAAGTTTATATATTAATAAACTGCTCCTTGAAGTTTATATATTAATAAACTGATCTTTGAAGTTTACATATTAATAAACTGCCCTTTAAAGTTTACATATTAATAATATTTAACCCTGTTGAATGCATGATACAATGGAAAAACCAAATAGCATACCAAAGTCTTCAGAACTATTAGCAGGATCGTTACCAGAAAATGTTGCAACTATTCTTCTGCAAAATTATAATTACATGGTTTCTGAAATTCGACAACTTCCAAACTATATTACCCCAGAAGGGTTCTTAATTGATTAATTTGAAATAAATTTTTTTGTTAATGTTGATAATATTGAAAGTGCATGTCAATGGTTTTTTGAATATGAAGAAACATCAAAGACCATGATGCGTGAAACAAAATCATTTCAAGTTGAAGGGAAAAAGGTTATTCTTCGTGAATTACGTCACTATATTCACAGTAATAAAGTCAAAGAAAAACAGAAAAATCCACAATTAAAAAGGCCCTATTCACTACATGTCAGAAATACAGAATGCATGTCAATGATTCATCTTCGGCTTGAGCGTTGGCACATTCAAACTACTCATCCACTTGAGATCAATATTAAATTTTTGCATAATCATGTCATTAATTCTGCTGAATCCCTTAGTTTTCAATCTGTCAAAGAGGAAGTCTGTAAAAAGTATTTTGAGCTTTTTACTAATGGGCATTCACTAGCAACAGCCTTACATACTTATGAGGATAGTATCTATTTTCATGCAAGAATGATCAGGAATTAATACAACTATTGGCTGACCGTGTGCAAAATCCTGATTATGGTTATGTCTTAAATCTGTTTAAACAATATTGTGATGAACATCTTGGAGCACAAAATGGCATAACAATGTTTCAGCATCTTAAATATGAGGTTGACAAATATAATGATTCAGGACAAGGTCATGCAGCACTTCAAGAGTATGATTCACAATCAAAAAATGCATTTATTTTGTGTGTAGTTACCAATTTAATGAGCTGTGTTCATGAGAAGATCAGGCAAGCAGGTGAACTCTGTTATGTTGATGCATCTGCATCATTTGAATGATTAAACACTTCAATTACCTTACTTTACACAAGTTGTATTACAGGCGCCTTACCTCTTGGACTTATTATAACATCATATAAATTAGCAATAACTCTTGAAAAGGGGTTCAATCTTTTAAAACAACTTCTTCCACCACATTCTTTTTTTGGTTGTGGACCTGATATTGGTCCTATGATTTTTCTTACGGATGATTCGAATGCCGAACGAACAGCATTAAAGAATTGTTGGCCACAGTCAAACCAATTATTGTGTGTGTTCCACGTCCTTCAGGCATTTTGGCGTTGGTTACATAATCCTAAGCATAACATAAATAAAGAACACAGAACCCCTATAATGAAAATCATGCAAAAAATATTATACTCACAAACGGAAATTGAAATGAACAAATTTTATAGTGAATTAAGGTCTATTTATTATACTACATATCCACAGTTGCATAAGCACTTTGAATCACTTTGGGTTCAGCGACCATTCTGGGCTTTATTATTTCGTTCTAGACTTCTTATATGAGGAAATCATATGAACAATTACATAGAGCATAGCTTTAGGTTATTGAAAGATGTTATCTTTGCACGAACACAAGCATACAATAGTGTTCAAGTATTCCATTTTATTATTACGAGCATGGAACGGTTCTATAAACGTCGATTACTTGCACTTGCACATAGTCAACCTGGTCATTGTCAAATCGCTAAACGATTTTTATGCCCTGGTTGGGAATTGATTAATGCGGCAGAAATTCAGCAATCTGAAATAGAATCAGAGTATCTGGTTCTGAGTTAAGAAAATAGCACTGATTTATTTTATACCGTAAATATTAAAATTTTTACATGCATCTGCTTTATTGGATTATCTGGAGTACCTTGTAAACACCAAGGTGCAGTAGCTGCCAAGTACCATATTGGATCACTGAATTTTTTTCAATCATTAATGCTTTATGATCATGCAATTTTTGCATATATTGCATCTGATAAGTAATTAACTATTTAACTTATTTAATTAATCATTGATATAATATATAGTAATAACATTTTAATTTTTAAGGGCTCATGTCAAATGATCATTTTTTTTACGCTTCACTACATGCCTGTACAAATAACAACAATTCTAAAGATCATGAGAATAGTATGACATCGAATAATGTGCCTCAGAGCAGTGATAAAACCCAGAAAACAGAAAGACTTGATGTTAATCTGACCGATTTAGAGTATATATTCTATATAATCAATTTTTTGTAATTCATCTAAAGCTTTCTAAAATAATTTATTCTTAGGCCTAATTCTGCTTTTTTTGAATCATTTCTTAAAACGATTAAACAAGATTATGAAAATTGTGGTCTGAATCTTCAGACTGCCCTTGAAAAATTTGCTGAATAATATAATGCAGCAAAAGCTAAATCTGTTCCAGCATTAGTGTCATTTCTTTATAACATTAATCGTGATATTGATTCACTTGCATGAGTAAAAAGTGGAACAAAAATTCATGTACAAGTTGAATCAATGAATCATTAAAGAACCAGTAATAATGATAAAGAAAACATTGATCAGCATATTATTCTTGTACAGAAAGTTAAAGCGAAAGGCAAAAAAGCACACAATATTAGTAAAAATGTTGATCTAAATCAGTTAAATTAATAGCTTTTAGTTAGTCTGAG